AGATAGTACTTAAGTACTACCTTTTAAACATGCTCTTGCGTGTATCCAATTGTTACTCGATTTCAGTATGGTAGCCCAATACAGAAGTCATACATCTGAGACTATAAATTATATAAAACAATATCTCGATCAATATCACATGACAAAGGATATTTTTCTTGAATTTCGTATATCTAAATATAGACTCACAAAGGTTAACAACTAGCGGAGAGAACTATAACAACGAAGAACGGATATGCATCAAACTCTTGCTGGATCAAAGCAACATCATGTGCATGTACAGGATCGAGACGAGGAGAACCACCGACGCATGAAATTGATCCAAGCTGAATCTCATTTCAATTTTATAAAGATGCATCTACTGAGTCACTTTCACAATCATATATACCAATTTGGCAATATTTTAATGTATTTTACAGAGTTCAGCTAGCTGGCATATAATGGGAAAATCAAGGACAGATGGCGACATTCGAAGAAAAATAATGCTGCAAGACAGATTCTGCAAATCTACTGGTAACAACATGCAATCCAGATGAGACTACTGAACCTGGATTGCTTGCGATATTGGGGAGTCCAAATCTCGGCTGATACCCCTCCAATGTCGAATACTCTGAGTACTCAATCTGAGCCAAAATTAAGCTGCAAGCACCTGTAGGGATATCGTCTTGACACATTGCAAACCTTCTGATATTTGCAAGGTCTTAGACATCCTAAGGGAGTTAATAAGTATTGAATTGATAAGGTATAGCCGTTAGAGCCTGGCCATGGAGTGGAGCTTTCCCAAGATACTGCCATAATTCAACATCTTCCTGTGGAACTGATATCACACCTTGAAATCCCAGTTCTAGCTTTCCTGAAAGACATTGTTTAAAACATCCAGCAGGTGCGATCTACAGGAACCAGTCTCTTCCAGAACCAGGTGAGTCGCAATGATTGGGTTTGGATACAGGTTGGTGGAGGAGAAATGTACGGTGCACTTCAAGGCCAGCTTCCTGAGAAGCTAATCATGCTCTTCAAACTGCAAGACTACTGGTACACCACCAGAGCCTACCAATCTACATGTATTCAGATGTTGAATGCTCAGAATTCTAGATGCCCATCAGAGTTTCACAATCTTGTCACCGTCCAGCTGAGGCCAGATGCACAAAAGTTTACAATCATCAACATTAGCACAATTTTCTGCCTGTACTACTCAATTCCACAGTGTGACTAATGATAGCTTATCAATAGTCGGATTAATTTAAGGACTTTCAATGAAATTTATTGACAAACTCACGGATCTCAGAAAGTGGGTATGCACGTTTGCGTCTGACACATTACTGTCCTGCTCATTGAGAGTTTTGGCTACATGCCAAATGTCCGACAGGATATACTTGGAGCAAATACTATTACTAGATTGTAAGTCATATGTAGAAATAATAAAATAGTAATAATTAAAGGTACTAATGATTAAGAATTGGTCCAGAGATTGTAAGTACCTGTTAGATTAAGAACATAACAATCCCAGAAAGCTTGCCGACTTAGAACAGAGAGCCAAGAATACATAGTAGAACTGAGTTGCCATGTCCAAGCAACTGAACCGAGAACGATGGGAGAAACAATGTCTGTGGTATCCTGTAGCCTTATAGGTGGGGTACAAGGTCAGGGTACCAGGGAGCCAGAAGGCGGAGGTAGGTACAGCGGGATGAGGAAGTAATATAGGAAAGCCCGTGAGATGATGTTTTGATATCGCGAGGATAAATGAGAGGAACATGATACAAGAGGACTATAGACACCACATCCGGCTAACACCTAAAGAGTAGAAAACGAGGGACCACTGTCAGGATGAGGGGGAGATGCAGGGTAGAGATCACCAGATCCAGAGAGGAAATAAAGACAAACAGACAGTTTGAATGTTGTTTGGACGTCATCGCATGCAAGCGAACTAACATGATGCAAGGATATAACAGATTAGCAAGCCTAGATGCATAGAATGCAATATGGTCTGAGGGGTGGGCCAGGATGCTAAGGTTGTAAAATTGCATCGTAATGCAACTCAGGATACACAAGATACCAAGAAGCATCACAATGCAAGTCAGGATGCACAGGATGCGCAGAATCCAAGAAAGAGGCTGTGAACGTCAGGACGTAGCGCCCATGCATCAGATGCAAGATAAATCCTTCCTAATGTACATGAAAAGTGGAAGGAACGTCAATCTCAACAGCAAAAAGAGTCACAAAACCGAAAACTTTCCTGCGATCAAGAACTGGCTCTCTGCCAGTTTCTGAATAGGCTAGATGAGATTAGTTGGTTTTCCATCAAGATACAGGCATATTAGTTCTTTTGCACACTCAATACTTGCATGTGCCCATGATAATCCCGCAAAAACCTGTCCACAGTCAGTCAGATGTGGACTAGTCACTTCCTTAAAAGATACTCACAGTATCAGATTTACAAGCAGAAGACAATTGATGTGGAGAGAAAGCAGTCTCATGATCCCAAGAGGCTGTATGATTGGTTAGAATGATATCAAAAAATCAAGAATGAGAAGGAGATTCTTGACTCTGATACCTACAATTTCGATAAAACTAGGTTTAGAATAGGGATCAGGTGTGACTAGTGAGTGGTCACACAGGACTCACAGTGGCCTCTCTTTATTGCAAGTTTGAGTATGAGAGAGCTGGTTACTGTGATTGAATATGTTAGTAGTGATTATGCTGTCTTGCTCCCAATATTAGTGGTACCAGGAGTACTACATATGGAGGACTGGTATACAAAAGCAGATATTCTAGACTCCTTTCTTGTCAGAGTATCCAATACTCAACACTCTAATGATAAGACTGCATGGGAGTGGATCCATCCTTTTGAACAGTTTTCAGCTTCATGTCAAGTGGGAGCCTAGAGACTACTTGTACTCGACAGGTACAATTTTCACTACACCCATGAATTTACCACCTTCTGTGATAATCACAAATTTGTTCTCTTTTACCTTCCCCCACATTGCATACATCTTTTACAGCCACTTGATATAATAGTCTTTCAACTGTATAAACATTATCATGTAGAGGCTTTGAATAGTATTACTAGGACTCAATCTACAGAGTTTAACAAAATTGAATTCTTCAATGCAATCGAGTCTGTTCAAATCTAAACATTTAAACCTACAACTATTATCTCTGCCTTCAAGAAAACTGGTCTTATACCATTCAACCCAGCAATAGTTCTTAGCAAACTACCTCCATCTCTCATGGTCAATTCTCCACTCCCACAAACCCCACCCCTACAAACATCATGCCTGACAACCCCATCCCTCCCTCTACAACTTGAAAATCCTTGTCTTCAATCTACACCAAAGACTATGCAGTCACTTAAGCGCCATGCAGACTCACTTCTAGCTGGGATTGAATTCCTTTCACTCTCCATTAGCAATAGTTTCCAGAAATATTTGCAAGGAAGCTTAGCTCAATCGCAGAGTAGAGCACTTGCCTTAGAAGATCTTGAAACCACCAAAGCAGCAGAACTAGCAAATGCTACACAGCAGAGAGGTTCCCAGCGATCTCTGCAAAAGAATGGCGTACTTTATATGAGTGAAGCTTGAGCAATGGTTCATCAGAAAGTGGAGGACAAGGCAGAGAAGGATCTTTGGCAGGCTCAGGGAATTTTGGAGAATACACAGAAGTCAGCAGAAAACAAGAGTAATAAACAGTGGAAAGAAATTTGTAAACAGATGCACAAGGCAGTGAAAGAGAGAAGTAAGTAACAAAAGCTTCAAGGTATTCATGGTCTTGAAATTGGACATTTTATTTGTAGTATTTAAGAAATCTATCGTTGAGCCGTTACTATCATTGAACTGTGAGGCACTCCAGGGGAGTGCCACCTACTTTGAAGGTCGTGTAGCGTCATTCGGAGTGGTGGGAACCTTGGCACGGTTAGCAAGTTAACCCGCTACCGGTAGTCGCAGCAACGGCCCTCAAACTGAGATCAGATAGGCAGGCTTCATATTTCGTGCCTATAATCGAGGACATCCTTCGCCCCAGATCCCCGGACCGGAAGTGCGTTGAGATGGGGGGTCAAGGCCAAGCTCAGGACTGAGGCGCTCCTGTTGTGGGGTCCGTGAACATCGTGTCAACTAACTTACTGGTACCGGTAACCGAAAATAATCTATTGTAGTCGGCCTATCACTAGGATCATTCAGTAACTTTAATCCCCTCAACCGAGCCAAGAATCTGATAGATGGTAGTGTGCGTGGGGACGACGGAAGTGATCAGAAATGTCTTAGTCTATGCCGGCTGTTCCTTTGGCAGTGACGAGACAATACGAGCTCATGTTTCCTTTTCTTGCTTCTTCTTAGCCTTTGTGAATACGAGAAGAAAGAAGATCCATCCTCAACTATCCTCCATCAGGAATAACGCCTTGGGGACATCCATTCCCCCCACCCCGAGTCGCACAACAGGCATGCTCGTGTGAATGAAAAGGCGCAGCCCGTGACTAGGCGATGCCCAACCATCTCCCAGACCCACTCAGCAGAGCCGATATATTTGATTCCCAAGACATCCAATTCGAGTTGTTAATTGGACCCGAAACACCCTACTTGAGTACTTGTATATTATATATACCCAACACGGTACGACCGTCAAATATGTTCACCGCAAAAGTGAGGAATGGCCCCCTAAGAAACCCAGGCTAATGCATAGCAAATGATGGGCAAGGAAAGAGGCTGAAAGGAAGAGAAAGTGAAGGAGATAAACTTATGGATAATAGAGAGGGTAGTTTTGTACCTCGGTAGCAGAACAAACTGGTATTGCAGGGGATCGACTACAGTACGCGCAATCACTTTGGTGCAAACGCAGAGCACCGTATCGTACTAGAGATGTTATATTATGTGGGAATTTAGTGGGAACAGGCTTACAGCCATGGGATTGGATTACCGGTGCCTTGGAGAGGGGTGGAGCCTGGGAAGTCATTGTTCACATCTTGTCGATCGGGATACTGCATTGTATCATAAATTGACTTGACAAGAAACAAAATACCGATACCGACCCCAGCTCTCAAAGACACAATTTTAGACTACCCGTGCCGCCAAACCTCCTTCAACAAAACTAACCACAATACATAGAAGAAATCACCACAAGGCATCGTTATCCCCATTAATCCTACTCCGTGTTTAAAACGCAGGGGGAAGGCTCTTGCCCCGCACCTCAACACCTCGCACTTCCTGGCCCTTCGGTGTACCTATCACACTCGGGAAAAACGGCCGTGAGCCCCTTTATAAAGTTTCTACACCAATATTGACCTCCAGTAGGCTTCGCCAGGATATCCCCGAACTCTTTCAGCACACTTTCATCAAGTGAACCCGTTGTGATCTCAATTTCGTTTGGACTGCCTTCGCTCCTCCACGTCAGCAATGTCCCGCACTTGTCGCAGAAGCCTCTGAAGCGCCCGGGCGAGGCGGTGTATTCCCGGAATGTCGGTGCCGGCGATGACCAGGTGACGGTTCTGGGCTCGGTGGTGAAAAAGTGGACCATCAGCGACCCCGTGTTTTTGCGGCATTGAGTGCAATGGCAGATGTGCGGCTTTTTCAGCAAGGAGTTAGTCCCTCAAAAAGCAGGGGAGTTCTGGGCAACGCTGGGGGGGCTTACAACTGGAGGCCATTCCGACTCTGGGCCAACCGGAAAGGAGACCTTGTAGTGAATTGCTCCGCAAAGGCAGCCGCCGGTGATGGGTGCATGGCTTTCTTCGGACATTGTGCTAGGTTTGCTCAAGCTCGAGAGATACTCTGCAATCTAAAGAGAAATTGAACTCTTTTATGGGGCTGGGGTGGTTATCGGGTTTGCGATTTTAGTTGAGTCATTCTCCAAGATCATGGGCTGCTGTACTAGTACAGTACCGGTACATCGACGTTGCATTTGAATTTATTTTCATGACGCCCGGCGGCGGCCCCCAAATACGAGACCAAGAATTTCACAAGACTCTCGCTACGTAGTGATGATACCGTAATGGTCAGGATTTGCATACCGGTAACGTAATCCAACCCAAATTCACTTGAGGTGGGGAAGAGCGTTCAGAGAGAGTCATCTCTCAAGACACCCATAGACACAGGAAGTGCACCGATCGGCTTGTCGATTACTGAACCGGTATCAGCCGCCGTACTGGACAAGCACCGCAGATACCGCACTTTGCAGTACGAGAGTTCGCGTCGAATATGAGCACGCCCGCATCCATCAAAAAACCGGTCGACCGCACGACAACTAACTCTATCGGTGCACGATGCCCTGGTGGCCTTCACGGGATAGATCCGGGAGCAGCGTGGACTGGCTTCTCAGGCCCAATAACGCTGCGACATTAAAATCCAGCAGTTTCTCGTACTTGCTGCGGATACTTTACCGGTACAAGTGATGGCGCTAGAAGCGATAGGGGGAAGCGTGCTTATGTTCAATGGTAAATATTTGAATCTACTCGAGTACATGTACCGCCGACCCGGCATGTTGAAGTCTTGGAGAGTGTGTCAACCTGCACACCATCTTTTAGAAGGGTAATTCCGCGCAAGCCACATGCAGTACTATAGAATTGTTGGTTACGCCACAAAAGACACTGCTAACATACCATAAGTCCGCTATAGTAGTAGAGTACCGTGGAAACCCTAATAATTAGACCATGTGCAATTCATCATAGTCGAAAACTCCCTACTCTGGAGAAGGAGCAAAAACGGAGACCGCGGCAAACGGTGGGCAACCCGGCCCCTCCGAGAGACATAAATATAAATTTAAAGAACAAAAAAAAAAAAAAAAAAATCACCAGCAGAGGCAACCCCACTGACATGGCAGAACAGTTCAATCATTTCGAGATTCTACGGTGGACACACTCAAACATAATATTATGATACCCCCCAACAAGCCCAGGCCCACTGCCCGCCATCCGAATCTCCACCCGACGAACAAATCTCCAACCGCACCCGCACCACAATGCTATCGAACAGTAACTTAACCCCTCCGAAGCCACTATCACTGCCCCTCACTCGCCGCTCGCGCTACCAAGTGCTCGGAATACAATCAATGGAATAACTCGTCTGCCCAAGTATCATACTGACAAACAGCATATCATATCATGGAAAGGAAAGAGGTTCAACTAGGGTATCATGATGAAGCACAGAAACGGGGACTAAAGTGTACAATAGGGGTTGGAATGGCTGATCAAGTTTATAGCATAAGTTACATATATACAGATTCCTCAGTCCCGCCGCCGCCGCCGAGTGCTGAGACTGCGTGATGGATGGGGCAGGCCAAACGGTGATCCGCGGGCACTCTCGAAGCCCAATGAGCATCATTATACGCGGAGATCTCGAGCCCTGGCCCTCCCGTCGGTAGTCGATTGGCAATGTCCTATTGGACGCAACGTTAAGGTGGAGGGGAGGTGGGCTAGCGGCCCCGGTAGGAGTTTTTTTTCTTCCCCCAGGATGCTGGAGATCTTGGGGTGTTTCTGGACTTGTGGGGTATTTGTAATCAATCTCTCGATAGCCTACGATACTTGGCATAGGTGACTTTGTAGGGCCCCAACGTGCACCACCGCGACCACCAGCAGCCCCAAAGACTGGGGGTTCCCTCCCACCCCCCCCCCACCCCCGGCCAATTCCTAACAAAGAAAGAAAGAAAGAAACTATACGGCGACGACACAACAGGCCACTTCTACACCCTAGGGCTTACCTACTAAAACCAAACCCCTCGCGTAGAAGACTACAATCGCCGTTCCACGCAACGACGACCACGACAGAGCGGCAATCATCCGGAAAATGCAATTCCTCCCCCTCCGGCGAGCACGAATTCATCAGCATTCCGGAGGGCCCCCACGTCGTCCCAGACCTCGGAATTGCTGTTTCCGTGTGTGTTCTCGCATCACACTCGGGGGGGGGGTAATGATACCGGTTCATCTCTGAGGAGGAGGACACTGTAGAAGGAGGAGGTGCTAGGAAGGTTCATGACCTGATCCGGCGGCCCACCGATGATGAGGGAATGGAGGGTGTGGTCACGTTTCGGCATTTCTCCTTTCTTATGACACGATGCCTTCTTGGGCGGGAGAAATTTAGCGCTGGTTGAGGCCGTATCTGGCCGGTCAAAGGGGCCATTGGCTGAGGAGAGGGCCTTCGCGGGCGAGCGGGGTGGTGGTTGTGGACAGGATTGCGGAGAACTAGAATGATCTGGTATGGATGATAGCGAGAGATGTAGGAATTAGGTATCATACTTAAAAAAGGAACAGATATGATGAATCCACCATGTCACAGTACCGGTACAGTACTGTACACTTTTTCCTTTCAATTTGAAGAAAATTCATCATTACAATGTCATGATACCGCGCACCAATACGAATTACCATACCCGCAGAACCGATAGAACCATGATTAGCCCACTCTATCGTTACCCCAACAGTCACTCGCGAACCCCCCACCACCCACCCATCCATACTACCATACCATATCATCAGTGAAACATTAACCTTATTCCAACGACAGTAACACAAACCGGATCAATGCAACAGCCACCACTCGCTCACTCGTAACTTAACGACCCCAAGCACAATATGATACAGTTATTCTATTTATCGGCGATCCTACCGTGATTCCAAATCGCTCACTCGCTTGAGCGAGATAAATGAATAAAATTTAATGGATAAATAATGTCAATATCCGTCCGTAAGTATTATAGACCACGGGTGCCCCTTCCACACACACACCCCAACATTGGGCGAAACTAGAGTAAACATGTTTTCCGCCAAGATGGGCAAATTGGGAAAGGAAAGGAATGGTGGGTTGGACTTGGAGTTATAGCCTTTTGGTCACTTTCGGGTATTGTACGCGGCGCGATTGGGGGAGTGGTGATGGAAAGGATGGGGGTTGAGTTAGTGATTTTCTATCATATTATCATATCATACGTTTTGATGAGTTGGAGGAATTCGTGTTTTCTAGGGAAGGTTCGGGGTTATGATTGTTTGTTTATGTGCGTGTAGAAGTACTGTACTGTACAGGTGTATAGCGTTGATAGGTACTTTGGATAGATGTGGCAATTGCACAGTATAATGGTACATGACAAAGTAAGGAAATGTGGTAAGGTATGATACCAGGTCCGTAAATAGACTCGACTATTGTTTATTATTGTCAGTTGGTTTTACTTATTATCGAAAGATGTGATGTTGCGACTGGTAGAAAGTATGATAGGGTGGATCAAGCTTACCTTTGGTGTGTCCGCCAGTGATTTTCTCCCTCCTTCCCTCCCATTCGTGTAAAGCCCAAAAAATAAAAATGCAAACAAAAACAAAAACAAAAAACCCGCTTATACAATCCGATCAATTAATTATAATCCTTCCTCTCACACTTTTACGCACCTCCCGATTGCCGTTCGTTACGTTCGTCCGTCAAGCCTCACTCATGTACTCGCTCCCCATCGGTGACTCCTTCGGCCGGTGCATGCGTCTGGAGTAGTAGTGAAACAGGGTAAGAACGAAGATGAGAAAGATGGAACCGCCGATGGTCAGGCCGACAATGATGCCATTCACCTGTGCTTGCGATGGCTCACCCATTTCACCCAGTTTGGTTGTGCAGGGTTGTTCTGGTTTGGTTTGTTCGGGAATGAACAAAAGGTTTGTTTTATACTAACAAGGATGGAGGAGGGCAAAAAAAGCACGGGTCATCCGTAAATCGTGAAATCCGTAAATTCTTTCGTTAAAGGTGGTAGATTAGCCTTCTTCAATCCTATCTGATGCGTGAATAATGGGAAAGGGAAACCTTCCTGGATCACAGACTGCTTTATACAAACCTGAGCTCTCGTCACACGCCCTAGATTATCTAATGGCGCGTCTCATGACATCAAGCTTTCCCCGATTGTGCTGTCCTTTGGCCCTAAAGTTTAACCTCCAGGGCGGCAGACAGCTGGTACTGCCCGTCTCCCTTCCTCCCTCCTACAGCTTCCTAGCCATGAATAAACAAGCGCTACGGACAAGATGGGAGAATTTGAGCATCGACCTTGAATTCCCGCGGCATGAGCGTCACGGGTAGGCAGGTGGGATATGGAATTTTGTCTCTCTCTCTCCCTTTTTTTTTTTTTTTCTGCACTGGCACGAGATGGTATTGGTTGAGGGAAAATCGGCCATCCTTCTTCCTCCTCTGTCGTGTCAGGACTGCAGCGTGCCGAATGATACGTTACCGGCACCTTGCCGGCGCACACAATGCACCCCCATGCCCACAGCGTGAATATCCCAAATTCGATCATGGACCTCATCCCATTCCCTCATCAAGTACCGACGCGAAAAAGAGTTGGGAAGGATTTTCAAATTTGGGCTGACGGCTCATATACTCGGAATCACGATACGCGTGGTGAACATATGATACCCGCTGGTTCACCTCCCTGGGGCCCAGTCAGAACGGGGATCGAAGGGAAGGAAAAAAGAGGGGAAAAAAAAACCACCTTCCATCCCAAGTTCCAAGTTCCCAATCAACCAAGGCTTTATCATAGTATGATAGCAAAAAACAACACAATGTCCACGTCCAGTCTGCCACGACAGACACGCGGCTGACAACTCAGCATTGGCGTTGCGGCGAGCCTTTTTCCATTTCTTCATCGAGTGCTCCGGGTATGCAGAGTACCCTTGCCGTAGATCGCACCAGCCTGATGTGGATATCTTCCAGAATGAATTATCCCCAAGGGGCGGGTGAGGCGGTGAGTTACCGGTACTCGTATGGGATCTTAAGTTATGGTACTTGGAGGGCTCAATCCCGTTCCCTTGATGCCGTTGCTTCGCCTATGTCTGGAGGTTTGGTTTGATGTGTTGTGCTGTCTGCGTCTGTTGAGACCCATCACGTGTCCAGCGAAGGGGTGTCGGGTGCGTGATAAACATGACAAAGCACTCGTTTGCGTATTACTCGAGTACCCCCGCCATAACTTGCGTTACCCACCCGAAGGCATCTCCCATTACGGTACCCCTGACATGAACGAGTCTCGAATTCCTCGAGGGCATCCCCATATCATGTGCACCTGTCTCTCACCCCATCTCCTTCACCATCCCCTTCACCATCCCCTCATCTACTCGCCTCCCCCTTTACTTACCGTCACTCAACCACAAGTCCACGATCCGCCTCGTCTATCCATGCGTTGAATCGCGGAAAGCTTTCTGAACGGAATGGTCGGGATTCCGTTATTGGCATCTTTATCCCCAGTTCAACTTCTGGAATCTCCTGCGTCCTGCGCGCCAGCACGGTTGCACAGCGTGGTGGTGGTAGATGCCCTGAGCAACGAAGCGCGAGCCAGCTGTCCAATAGACTATGGCTTTTCTCACATACCGGTTCTCGAACAGTTCTTGCATACCGTAAAGCCAATTGATAATGTGCAGAATGACTCCGCCCATTTTTCTTGGTGCGGAGTGTGTGGCGCCGATGTGCTACCAAACCAACTAAATTTTTGGTTTGTTCCCTGTTTGTCTGCCTTTTTTATTGCTAAGAGGTTACAATTCTTGGAGGTATGATACCGGTATGGTGTCAACCCTAGGCACAGACAGAGCTCCATAGCATATTAAGCTCTCGCTACTACGGAGTTGGAGGGTGGAGTAAGAGGCTGGCAGAGTATGGGGGTGGACTACCTCGGCCCGAGCTAGGCACGGACTATGATACGTTTCGCCTTTTTGACCAGCGGAATTCAGCAATGTTTCAAAGAAGCGGGGTTGCATAAGAGGATGATGGACGCCTTTCCCGAAACGGGGGATAGGATAAAAAAAGAGGGAGAGAGAGAGAGAAAGCATGGTAGCATTAACCATTTTTTCCAATCATAAAGTACCGGGTACTGGTGCCGGTACTTTTGAATTTCAAAATTATCCGGACATTTTTATGCCAAGGCCCTACAAAAGCGCCAAGGTATCTGGGTATCTTGGAGATTTGCAAGTACGTCGTATCATACCTATCTCTAATTAGTGTTCTCCAGATGGGACCATGTTTGACTCGAACGCGCCGATAAAAAAAAGTAGAACATAGGATTATTGCTTGTGCTGGAATCTTTGATAGCCTACGCCGATTTCCCCGCTTCTGAGCAATAAATATTTCCTACTATGGTGCCAGCATTTTTGCTCACAAAGAGAACAAAGAACCCCCCCCCCTCCACTTGGATCCCCGATTTCAGAAGCCCCGACTCAAATCCTCCCCACTCTATCATATCTCTCCGGATTCGATAACTGAAAGGCCATCTCTGCAACATTCTATGGAACACAGGCACATATATGCACTCGAGGTCATCGTTCGATTTCCCCTCTTTTCCCTTATTATATCGTTGCTAAGACTACCGGTAGTTACTCGTGGTTGAACGACATTGTGAACGCGTCTGCTATTGCATGCCCCAAAATTCAGATCTTTCGCTTGGATATTATAGTGTCATGCAATAATAGTTGTGTTCACAAAAAAGTCGTTCAATCCCGAGGAATTGAGATGTACGGTACGGTACTGGATTTGTCCATACCCCGCCCCCTATCCTCAATTCACAAAATTTGCGTCGGATCCTTGACGCGTTCTTGGAAAAGCTTCAATCAACTTTTTTGGTTGGGATTGGGGCAATTTTTCAATTTGATTTCCTACGCTCAGTCCTAATGGACGTTGAGATGACTCTCGGATGACTTCGCCAAGAGGTTATCATACGGGTCCGACCACTCGATTCTGATAGGGCTAATTTCCAACGGGGAAAATGCTCGGGTATTCGCTCCCGGGCTTATTCTAGAAGAGTTTAAAAAAGCCACACTTCGGCACAATCTTCAAGGGATACAACGGGGGGGCTCCTTGGCATTAAATCCTTAGGAGAAAAAGTATGATAGGCCTGGCTTCAATTCCCGCTTGTGTCGGAGTTTTCTTTATCACGGAACCTGAGCCATCATAACCTTGTTTTTACTCGCAATTTTTAATTAGGATATATGATAAATTTTTTTTTAAAAAAAATGCAAAACAACTTGGATGTGATCGGGATTTGATCGGGATTTGATCGGGATTTGAGCATAGACGGGTCTTTTTTCCTGAGGATTTGATGCCAAGGAGCCCCCCCGCTGCATCCCTCTTTGGCGCCTCATCTGTAGGGCACGAACCGTACCTGTGCATGAGAAAGGTGGTGTTGAAGTTGGAAATAACTACTCGAGTATATCATATTAAGCCCCGCTTCGTTTTTTTCTTTCCCTTCCCCCCCCCTCCGTCATAATTGGGAAGAAAAAAGGGCTATTGCTAGGTGTCTTTTTCAACGAAATGCAGTATTATGATGGGCTTGTTTTTGGGTAACCCAAAGAGGATCCTAGGGATATGGTAGGCGCGGAAAAACTTTGTCATACCTCCGCCATGACTGGTTTACTCTAGGCCTTAAACATTCAACGTTAGGAAGGTGGGTTCGACGGCATTAATGGGAAAGGGACAGACTTTCGATGGAAATAAAGGGAGCTAATGTGGCAAACCTGCCCCGGGTGCCGCTTAACCGAGAACTCTTTCGCACATAAATTGAGAAACCATTTGCTCCTCCCATGGACGAAGCATCCTTAAATCGGGAAAATGACAGGCCAGAGTCTCGAGAGAACCGTTTCCATACGAACATTCCATGGTGAGGACGCTGGGGCAACGGATTACTCAGAGCCTCTACCAGTCGAAGCTATGCGAGTAGAGGGAGTTGTTGAACGGGATAAAGATGTTATTTATTGGGAGCAGGGTGATCCTGACAATCCGCACAATTGGTCAAATGTGTGTATTTTCTTGAAATCCCCTAATATAGCCAATTTACGGAACTGACAGTACTAGGGCAGGAAATGGGTTGTCTCCCTGATTGGTATACTGATGGTTTCAAACTCAACATTTGCATCATCGCTCCCCGCCGGTGCTATGTCGTACATAAGGAAGGATTTAGATATTACCAGCCAGGAAATCAGTTCTTTGACAATTTCCATCTTTTTGGTTGGCTACGTTGTCGGACCCATATTCTTCGCGCCGGTCAGTGAATTCTATGGCCGGCGGCATGTGTCTATTGTAGCATTTTTATGGTACTCTATTATGAGTATTGGTTGTGCCCTTGCGCCAAATATTGGTGCGCTGCTGGCGTTTCGGTTTTTGGCGGGTACTGGAGCGAGTGCGCCGTTGAGCGTCGCTGGTGCCCAAATGGCGGATCTTTGGGATGACCCTGTTAAGCGGGGGAGATGTGCATCACCTTTTTCTTCCACATTTTTATCTGCATGGTACTGACCCGGGGAAAACATAGTGATGGCTGTGTTCTGTGCCTGCACAATGGTAGGGCCAACTCTCGCGCCATTCATCGGCGGCTACATTTCAGAGACACAGCTGGGCTGGCGGATGACATTTTGGATCGGCTTCATCATAGCTGCCATATCCTTCATCCCCCTAGTCCTCTTCTGCCCGGAAACCTATGCTCCTATTCTCCTTCTCCGCCGCGCTGAGAGGATTCGCGCAGAAGGCGATATACACGCTGTGGCGCCACTTGAACTCGATGACCGCGATCTAAAGAGAATCCTTGCCACCACCATAACCAGACCTTTCCGCATGTTCTGGCAAGAGAGCATCGTTTTCTTCACAAGTATGTTCCTAAGCCTCCTTTACGGCACATTCTACCTCTCCTTCCAATCCTTCCCAATGATCTACCAAGACATATATGGCTTCACGCCCGGTACCGTTGGTTTCTTCTTCCTCCCCCTAGCGGTAGGGGCGGGCCTCGCCTGCGCGGTGGGCATAGCTTGGGACTCCTACTGTCACCGCAGGCAAAAGCAAAACCCCAACGTGCCCTTATCCCCCGAATTCTGCCGACTTCCCATCGCCCTCATTGGCGGCCTGGCGTACTGTACGAGCCTCTTCTGGCAAGCCTGGACTGCGCGCGAAGACGTTCATTACGCCATCCCTGCTCTCTCAGGCATCCCTTTTGGGTTCGGCTTTTCCCTTGTTTTCCTCGCCTTTATGAATTACCTTACCGACGCCTACGAGATCTATGCTGCGAGCGCTCTGGCCGCAGCGAGTATGTGTCGGTCATTTCTCGGCGCGGCATTCCCGCTGTTTGGTAAGACTATGTATGACCGCTTGACGATCCCCTGGGCGTCGAGCCTTTTGGCGTTCGCGGCGTTGGGGATGTCGTTTATTCCGATTTTGTTTATTCGATATGGTCAGCCCCCCCTCATTTATCTAGCTTATCGTGGATATAGCGGGCTAATCACTGCTGGAACAGGGGGGAAAATCCGCGCTGGGTCAAGGTTTTGTCAATTCCTGCTGGAGCGAAAGAGGATCCAACATGAGGAGGAGCAAGCACGCTCAGCTTCGGGAGCCGCGTCGAGGGCTCCGTCCTTCAAGGGGTTGGCTCTGGAGAAGGAGGCTGTCTAGCTATCTAGCTGGCATTTTAACCCCTTCTTTCCTTTGTTTCGTGTCATCTCATCACTTCACCCATTCACGGCATTTGGAGTTCGGGAAGGTTCATCCTATTCATAGAACAACATATACACTACGGCACAGCTTAAATTAATCTTGATGAAAGGTTGGAAGTTTATATTATTGCCACCATCACTACTAGTGTGTGTACATATAGTTCTTATTTACGCTATTATGGTAAAAGCCCCTATTTTGCGGTAATGTTCAGCGCACAACAAAAATATTCCCACTTTCCTAACAATTGCCACACATAGGGGGGGGGGATACAACAAATATTTATTTTGGAAATACATACAGTATCTATATTGTGACGCGCTGGACAGAGAGAGCCTCCCTTGTATGTAAACAATTTATGCTCGGACACGCCGCAAATATTATACTATGATTCCCCCATCGCCGCGATATCCTCCCCGGGATGGTGGTGGGCGTGCACGGGGCGGGTGGCGAAGTGAGGGGGGGTAGAGAAGCATGATATCATAAAATATTATGATAAAAAAGATTTGAAGGGGGGGGGGGGTAGGGAGTTAGGAATTCTATCCAGTAAAAAAGCTTGATGTACAGTATTCTCCGTCACCAAACCTTCTTTCTCCGAGGCGTTAGGAATATAGAATTAAGGCCGAAAAGTTGTTAGGAGTTGTGGTTGGAAATTTTAAATTCGGAATTTAATAATGATAATAAATATTGATAATAATAATAATAATTGGTTATGATAGGACTTTGGGGGAAAAAGAAGAAAAAAACTCGGCGGAGGGGGATGAAGTAGGTACAGTACATGAATTATCACTCGGGTACGATAGAACATGTATCGTATGTACTGTACGGTAAGCAGGAGCTTCGGAGCTTGGAGGCGGGGGTGCGAACCAATCTTGCGGTTGGGAGGTGTTACACACACGCACGTATGATAGTATGATACAGTGCCGCACGCTCAGCCGAATATTCATACCCGGGTGTAAGCGCTGCCGCAACCGGGTGGGGTTCTCTTCTGCAGGCAGGGTTCCGTCGGGCGAAGGCGGGTCTGGACTATGGATGATACTACGGTATTCAATTCCTACTCCTATCACACCTTAGCGAGAGAGGATAAAGAGGAGAACCATACCCATCCAGAAGGGAGAAAAAAATAAAGAAAAAAGGGACCAATTCGGAAGGCCGTGGTCACATAATTAGCTTGCTGCATTTCCCATGCGATAAGTGTAATACTCGATACCTTGTATACGGTGGCCTTGAGTTGTGTGCGTTGGTTATTTATTAATCGATATGATATCTTGGAAAAATGTTGAGGGTGCACTATCTCCGTCCCGGGATGTCTTAATTCCGGGCTACCGGTAGTAAGGTTAGACTAGACTATAGTAGTTGGTTGGTTGCCTTTTCCTCTGGATTGGCCGGCCAATCGGAAACGTGTCCGAGGGGTTTGAAGTATACTCTCTAATTGGACGGGAATTAACGCATTCTGGGATGGAGATGGAGAATTTATCATGGTCACTTTTTTTTTTTTTCCTTTTACGATCGGTGATGCGGGACCGAGATGGTGACTGCTATCGGCTTAAAACTTCTGTAGCTATGAGATATAGCGCTTGTGTGCCCGTCGGCCGAAGTCGGACAGGTTCCGGACTGGTCGTTTGTGTTAACAGGGAGGGCCGCTAGAGATGCTTACTACTGTTGTGTGCTCGAGTACCGTATGATACTCGTAGTGGGAGCCCCTCCGTTTGAACCGGCAGAGCTATTATACCATCGAGACCGCCTTCCATCTGATGGATAATAATAACACCTCCGACTTGACAAAGTCCCGCGTATCCTCGACGCCAGAAACGGTTTATTGGCTGGGCCAGCCATCGGAAGACCTCAGCCACACTCTTCCAAGCCAAAGTATTCCTCTATCTTTCGAGCTGGAATTCCGTGGAATTCGACATACGGGCGAAGGGGTGGCATTTCTTATGATACTCCAGGAAGAGAAACCAAAGTTTGGAAGGATCTCATTGGTATTGTGGAGCGTGTCGAAGGGTAGACTATCGTTCAAGTGGAGGAACTAATTTGAGGTTTCTTCATCTAACGTATCATAAAGAACCGGGAAGCGGGACATCACCGGGAAGTGGGACAACACAACCAAATTTCAAAAAGTAGCCATAACTCCACCAGTTCTCAACCAAATTAGATAAAATAAAAAGGAATAAATATACAAAGGGTATGGGGAGGTACCTGTGAATTAAGATTAATAAAAAAAAAAACAATGCTAAAGAAAACTCATAAAAAGGTGAAAAAAGGTCAATTAGAGGCAAAGTAAGAAAAGACAAAAAACAAAGAATTTGGATCACATAAAACCATGTAGAAAGAGACATTAAGTAACCTTCTACTATTTGAAATATCAATGGGGGGCAATACTTGCAGTTGATAGAGCTAGTGAGATGATGTGGTAGAGAAGGTAGTAGATAATTTGACAGTACTATAATTACTTGTAATTGTAAGAATTCTTGAAAGAACAAAGAATAATATAAGACTAAAAACTAGTAAAGTAAAAGTACTATAAGGCCTGCATTCTTCTGAGTGTTGTATTTATATGGTTTAGGTTATTTTCCGCTGCTGGTGAGCATTAGACTAGCTTTTTGTATACTCTTATTCTGATTATGATTTTCTTACATTTCCCACATACAAAGCATCTCTGTTCAGGTAATAACATCAGCAGAAATTGGATAAAGTTAATCTAAATTTTGGAGAACAGATATAGCTTTTCCACTGCTAATATAATTGACTTTTCTCACAATTTCAACTCTAGTCTATCAAGTAGATTGAAAGCATTCAATATCAGAAACTACTTTGTAAAGTTTGATCCTAGAACTTCTTCCTATCATAGTAAGACTATTATTAGTATTATAGGAGAAAGGTGTACCTTCTGATAATAATTAATTCTGCAAAGTACATTGAGTATTACACTAAGAATTGTTTTTAAAAATGTAGTAAAGTGTTATAAAAAGATTAGAAATAATATGTAAAGAGTAAAAAACTAAGTCAAATTCCGAAATATGGTAGCTATATAATCTATATTGATAGATCATCTATCTACTAAAACTAGCATTCAGCTTGTGGTAATATATTTCAATGGTAATAGGAAAAATTGTACATAACTTACCTACTCTATTGTCTCACTATTACAAACTCCAAATATCATCTCCTGTACTATTCATACCAATATAACACTATACAGTAGCCCATTCTACATGGTTTTATGTGATGCAAAGCCTTTGCTTTTTGCCTTTTCTCAACTTGCCTCTAATTGACCTTTTTTCACCTTTTCATGAGTTTTCTTTAGCATTGTTTTTTATTTAATCAATTTTAATTCAAAGATACCTTCCCATACCATTTGTGCATTGATTCCATTTTATTTTGTTCAATTTGGTTGGGGACTGGTGGAGTTATGGCTACTTTTGAAATATGGTTGTGTTGTCCCGCTTCCCGGTTCTTTACGTTAGACCTTCACCGTTGCCTCGCAATAGTCTGGGCACCTGGTATTTTGTCTCTTTTCTGCGACCAATGTTGCAGCGAGGTGGCTTGCTCGCAAATATCGGTATGGTGGCTGGCCGTTTGTGTGCTTATTGCGAGACTGTCGTGATGGATATGAAAAATTATTGATGTAGTTTACATGGATTGCATCCACCGAGTTGGAACCTCCTGATAAGAAAGAACCGTTATGATACCTTTTCGGTCTTATGATCCCTTGATTGTTTCTCACCGTGAGACTCAACTGATGATGACCTTACCCACAATCCCAGCTGCATGCGTGACTTTTGACTCTCACTTTACCAAATTCCTCAAGTTAGTTTGAACTCCTATTTTGGCGCTTTCTGTACAGATTTTCTGTATGCAAGTTTTGGGCGCTGATTAATTGTTGAAATTTCAATGTGTTCCATCCAGTTATTAAGATATTCGCTCTGTAAAGTGGATATCCTCTCGGCCAGGTACCATTGCTGCCCACTTCAGTATTCGTAGGTGGCAAAGTCGGCCTGTGGATACCCTTCGGATATGCGGCCGGGCCAGGTCAAAGTGAGGCTGACCTGGGGGTCGTAGGTCGAGCATTTTCATAGCCTCGAGGTTGGATGTACAGTACCAGCAGTCCGTCAACATATCCCGTATGGTCGGTATATATCTCGCCAATGGGTAGTAAATGCCTTTATATACCCATAGGTGTTTACCGAAGTCCTTAGTTGCTGGGATGTATTGAGAGATACCGAGATATATATATTATATAAATTTATCGTGAGATCCCATATCCGAGGGTATTTGCGAGTGGCTCAAGCTTGTGATAAACGGATGGAAATCAACTGCATTCAAGTTCCGATAAGTATAAAGAAAGCATTGAGAGTAGTGGAGGTGCTGGGAAACTTCGTTTGTGGAAACAAACAAGAGAAGAGCTGTTATTATCATAAGCTGGCAAACGACCTCCGAAGGAAAAGGGAGAAAAAGAGGGGATTAGAGGGGATTAGAGGAGAGGAAGCGAGTCACTACTTAAGGAAGCAAACACAAAGGAAGCAATCGGTGCGCAGGAGTGTATAGATAGCCCACAACGTATACATTCCTGCCGCAAGGTTAAGCAACATCGCGCGTCATAGTAAGAATACCCTGACCATACGAAAACGATGCAACAATAAATTAATGCAATACCAGTCACACGTTCTAATGGCTTCTTATCGTTCAATATAATTTGAAAATGCACATTCATAATTGTATTTATTGGATTGTCAAGTTGTCTTCTTACACCACTCGAGTATTACTAGGATCTCTTACTCCCTAAAGCTTTATCTATGGACTTTTCCCCACCACATGGTCTCCAAGCGCTCTTCATCCCGATGTCTCCAAACGTTCAGGGGGACTGCCGAGGGTTCAGCGGTCTGTTAGGGGCAGTGATATCTCGGGGCTACCGCCATTTGCTCAGACAGCAGGCCTTACAGAGTGGTTGTAAGGCCACAGGTGGCGGTAGGAAACGGCCGGGGACGGCACGAGTGATGCCCCGTGATTTTAACTCTGCCTTTACCTGTTCCAGACCAGCGGCAGGACTTGACTGAGCAGGAATCTGGAAGCCTGAATTTGTGAATACCGTAAAAACTCGAATAATTGGACCATGTGC